AAGAGAAGGCAGGAGAATCTTGCAGCTGCCTGGTTTGAAAAGAACAGCCCTGCAGGTACCTGAGCTTCAAAAAGCATCTGGACAGTCATCAGGGCTGGTGAAGGCAAAGCCACTGTGCCCAGCCCCCCCAGAGGGGCTAGTAGAGGAGACCCTGGGCTGCTGTCCCAGTTTTAAAAAAATACGAACAGCAGAAACCCCTCATACTCTGCTCACCTCTGCCAGCTCTGCACATCCCAGCAGGGATGCTCTGTTCCATGTTTTGGGGTGAAATCCCATCATGGTCTTTGAGTGAACACTTTCCCATGGAAAAACCTTGCCCCCAAGCCCATGTATCCCCCACGTTGGGATGCCTGCATCCCCCTCACCCACCACTCACCTGGCAGCATCAGGAACAGCAGGAAGGTGCCCAAAACCAGGTTCATGCTGCTTTGTGGGTTCTCCTGGTCTCTCATGGCTGTCCCACCACACTCTGCTCCCCTTGTCCCAGCAGCTCTGCTCCTCCTCGGGCTCCCCCGGGCTTATAGCCACTCCCAAGGCAATGGCTGTGTCCTCACTTCCCTTCTCTGAACCCCTCACACCTTCCTGTGTGCTAACAAGTGACCTGCTCACAGCGACAGCAACAACTGTCAGAGCTGCAGCATTTCCCCCTTGGCTGCTTCCCCAGGCTGACTCAGGACCTTTTGCTTTCCCTTTCTCCCTCAAATCCTGACAATGGATCAGTGGCTCACATCAGCACAGCAACATGCTGGAGCATCCCCCTCCCAAACCAGACATCACCATGAGCCAGGACATCCAGGCTCTGCCTGGATCTACAGCCACTGAGGGAAGTGATTCCTGTCCTGTTTCCCCTCTGGATTTCTGTCCTCTGCCAGCCTCCCTCTCTGCTGGATAGCGACAGTCCCTGGAGACTTCCCAAGCCATTGGCATCTCCTTCCATCATGCCAATCCCTATGGCACCAGAGTGCTGGTGCTTTGCCAGGAGCACTGTTACTGGTCCCAGCTCAGCAAGATCCTACAGGATGAAACATCAGGCCCTGTACCAGGGATGGGACAACGCTGGCTGAGGGATGGATCCCATCAGAGAGCCCACCAACACACTCAGCAGAGACCCCAGAGAGCCACACTCTGAGAGGAAAAACTTTAATGGGCACAAGTCTGGTGCATGGGCACACTCATTAAACTTCTACACCATCCAAAAATAGACATTCAACAAAATAACAAAAATAGATTATTCCAGCTGCCGGAGGGTGTGATGGGGGTAGAGCCATTCTGTCTTCCCAGGGCAAGGACTCTCTTGGTAACCACCAGCAACGGCTGAAGATGGGGCCTTTCCCACCTATCATCCCTGGCCTCAGGGCATGGGAAAGGACATCTGAAGGCACTGGGGACCCCGTCCCTGCCCTTTCACTTTTTGCAACCCCCATTGCCTTGGTGAGCATCCCTCCCTCCCTCCCTCCCTCCCTCCTGCCCCAAGGATGCCCAGCCAAGGGATGCGCCGCTGCCTGTCAGTGGGTAGGAAAATTGGGGAGGGGGCTGGCAGAGGTGAGGTCCAGCCAGCCCTTCTGTGGGTCCCTGGGCTCCTCATAGCCCTACAGGGCAGGTGCAGTAGCAAAGCAGATGACATTGGTCCTTCCCATGGCCATCCTTGGCACGGGGAGTCCCGGCACGGCATGGCCATCACAGGGCTCAGCCGACCTGGCCCTGGCTGCTGTTGGGCTGCAGCTTGACACTGTCGGAGCTGCTCTGTGAGTCAGGGGACTTTCTTGCCTGCAGCACCATGGTCCAGTACCAGAGGAAGATGAGAAAACCTGGGAGAGGGAAGAGGAAGGGTAGATGAATGACCTTGAGAGACCAACAGTAGCTGACACCAGGCCTGCCAGGGCTCCTCTCGCACCCCATCACCACCAACACCCCATGAAAGGCTCAATGCCCTTCAGAGGAGCCCAGTGTCCCAGGCTCACCTTGGAGGGAGTTGATGATGGTGAAGATGTAGAGGGATACGAGGCAGAAGACACCAGAGGTGAAGGAGAAGAAGATCAGTGCCCATGGCATGCCTAGCAGGATGCTCAGCCCAAAGAGGGCCAGGACATGCTTGAGCTTGTGGCCTTTCTTGTTCTGCCGGAGGATCTCCCGGACCATGGCCCCCAGCATGACTGAGTTAAAGAGGAACACCAGGCTGAAGAAACCCAAGTTCACGATATTATGGATCAGGGCGCTTGTGATCCAGCATCTGGAGGGAGTAGAAAGGACAGAAAATTACATTGTGTCATCCCATGGGGACATGATTTGAGAGGGGCTGGGGGGAGCACAAAGGTGTGGTGCCAGCCCAGCACCCAGGGAGTGGAGATCCCCCACCACTCCCTGGCACAAAGCCCCAGAAAAGCCACAGGACATGGTGAAGGTTTACCCAATTGACTTTATCTATGACCAGAGAACAGGCAACTCACTCCCCACGACTTACATGGTTGCGTTGGTGTATTTGCCATCAATGGATTCATAGACGGGAATGGAGAAGGGGCCATAGTTCGTCCAGCTAGCCAGGAAGATCAGTGTCACGCAGAAGAAGGGGAATCCTGGGTGGCAAGAGCAGAGTGAAATGGCTGCCCTAGTCGCTGGTCCTCAGACCTTCTGGAAGGACTTGTTGCCCCTTTCTCCCCATGGAGAGTACAAACCAACATCCTCCCTCCAAAGGGGAAACCAAGGATGGAGCACACAGCAAGGACACCTGGTGTAAGCTCTGGCCTGGGAGTGAGCTGTGGTGTGCAGCCAGAGGTCTCCCAGGTAGGTGGAACTTTAGGCCACAGAAGATCATGAGCTCTTCCTACCACAGCCACCTGCCCAAAGCACAACATCTCTGTGGGCTGTCCTGGATGTTTCTTTCAGAAAGAGTGGATCCCATGACTATTTAAAGACTCCAAGCAGTGGCTCTCACGTTTCCCTTGCTGGGTAACCCACCCTTGCTCTAGCACCACCTTCTGCTCTCAGCCATTGCGTGTCCTGCACCAAGTCTCTCAGCAGACATTTGCCCCCCCACACCTATGTCTCCATCCCCATCCAGGCCCCATACACAGGGGGAAATACCTACCCGGGTTCCCCTCCACCCTGTGCCCTTGGGACATCTCTGCCTTCCCCATGCTCACCCCAGCCCACCAGGCAGAGCTTGAGGAGGAAGTGGTCGTGGTAGGCGTTGAAGACTTCGATCACAAGCCGGTAGAGGTTGTAGCCCTCAATGCCCATCCAGGTGAGGCAGCTCAGAAGAGAGAAATGCAGAAACAGTCCCCCAGCTCTGCAGACTGCCTCGCTGCCACTGGAAGCCAAGTGCTCAGAGATGAGGAAGGTGAAGTCCAGGAGGAAGATGGCACTCAGCAGGTTCATGTGGATGTGCATGCTTGTGATCTGGTCTCGCTGTTTGCTTCTGGAGAAACAGAGGGAGCAGACCTCACCACCATGCCTGGCCAGCACCCTTGGTGCCCCACAACACCCCACAGCTCTGCATGGGGCAACTCACTCCAGCAGAAGAGCAAGGAGACTCTCTGGTGGTGCCAGAGGCTGAGAGTTCAACCTCAAGGGTGGGACCACACATCCCATGTGCAAATCTGGGCCCCTGCAGCTGAGTCTGTGTGGAAGAGACTCAGAGGGCTGGAGCACCTCTCCTATGGATACAGGCTGAGAGAGTTGGGGTTGTTCAGCCTGGAGAAGAGAAGGCTCTAAGGAGAGCTTAGAACCCCTTCTAGTACCTAAAGGGGCTCCAAGAGAGCTGGAGAGGGACTTTGGACAAGGGCCAAAAGTGACAGAACAAGAGGGAATGGCTTCATACTGACAGAGGGCAAATTTAGATTAGATATTGGGAAGAAATTCTTCCCTGTGAGAGTGGTGAGGCACTGGCACAGGCTGCCCAGAGAAGCTGCAGCTGCCCCATCCATGAAAGTATTCGAGGCCAGGTTGGATGAGGCTCTGAGCAACCTGGTTTAGTGGAAGGTGTCTCAGCCCATGGCAGGGGGGGTTGGAACTAGATGGCCTCTTCCAATCCAAACCATGCTATGATTCTATGATTTCAGGCCTAGGCCAAGGGGGAGGAGGGAGTGACATCATCTGAGCTCCAAATCATCCACATAGAATTAGTGGCATGACTCAGGAAAAGCCACTCATTCTCCACCAGGCCCTTGGAAAGATCTTTACAAGTTTGTGCATGCCAGATCCATAACAACAATCAAGATGATTTTGCTAAAATCACTTAAAAGAGCCGGTGTTTCCAAGCATCCTGCAGGAGACCTGAACAAGGGGGTGGTTTCTGGAGAGGAGAACTCTGCTTTCTTCAAGTGTGGCTCCTTCATCATGCTTCTAGAGAGGCCACCAACTGCACTTGGACAGCTTGTGCCCACCCAGGTGTAGTGCAAGGCACAGGACACAGACAGGGAGCATGGGGTAACCAGTCAGTTAGACTGTACCTGAAGTAGAGGAAGAAGATGGTGGAAATGGATGCCAAAGCTGAGATCAGGCAGCCAATGTAGCTTATGAGACTCAGGTAATTCCTGTGTACATAGGAGATCTCTGGGGACGATATCTGAGGAGGAGGAACAAGAGATGGTGAGTAAGAACAGCCGGTGGGAATGATGTAGATTGCTGCAGGAAGGTGCTACCCACCATCAGCACGGCAAAGTAGGTGAGGTGGTTGCACCTGCACTCGGTCTGGCTGCTCCCTGTCACTGTTGTACAACCATAGCTGTCCCAGCTCCCA